CTGTACGCTTTGTTGCTAATGTAGGCTGAGCTTTGTGGGTTATCCAAGTGCAAATGGAGGCCCAGCTGGATGGGCTGCCCAAGAACAGGGCCCCGTTACGTTGGGCATTTCACATTCACACAGTAGGAGATATTCGTACCCCAAAGAGCTTACTTATGTTTCACACCATCTACAGTTGAACATCTTTTGAAAGTGATCCATTGTTCTTCATAACCACTGAGGGTAGGACAAGAAGTAATTGGCTTAATTTGTAGCAAGGGAGAGTCACATTGGATACTAGGGCAAACTTTCTAATGCTAAGCATAGTTAAGCATCGGAGCAGGTGACCCAGGGAGGTTGTGGAATCACCATCACTGGAGGGTTTTTAAGAATAGGTTGGACAAATCCCTGTCAGGGATGTTCTAGGTATAATTCAATCTACTTTGCAGGTGGGTGGGCTAGATATGACCTCTTAAGGTTCTTTACAACCCTACATTCCTCTGATCATGCTTCCAAGGCCCCCATCTTGCAAACGCTTCACTAAAGCAACTAGTAGTTGAAGTTGAGAGGACTGCTCATGGCAGCAAAGTTAAACATGTCTGCAGGATTGGGCCTTAAGACTGAAGATTTCCCCATGACCCAAAGTAAATTCTTGTGTGTCCTACAAATTGCCCCTGTGGGTGTCAAAATTTACAGACCTTCAGCTATGCAGTATTTTTTGGATAGTTAACTTATTGCTTAAGAATGGTACCAGCTTGACAGCCTTGCAGCCTAAAGCGCTGTGTTTATCCCCAGAACCAGTACAGCCCGGGCAGTGGCAGGGTGAACAACCTCACCACAGCCCTGGAGGGACAAGTACTAAGGGTTAGAGGAGAAGTCAGTCTTCACAGCCCATTCTCCCTTTGCCCCTTGTTACTGAGCCTCAGTGAGGGGATGGTCACAATGCGGACACTTCTCCAGCTAGCAGTCGATTAAAACATCAACTCTTTTCCCCCATAGGCCACTGGAAAAGACCTCAGTCCATTCCTAAAGGCTGTAATGATTTTCCTACCCGGACAAATGTCCCCAATCTTTAACCATGCCATCACGTGTTGGCATATTCTTTGAGGTGGATCACGTGTCAATAGTATTTTCTGCTCAAAGAGAGAGAGCCGAGCGTATGGGAAAAGTGAAGTACTATCTAAAAACATATCCAAGGGTACCATATACAGGAGGCCTCTTACCTGAGATAAGAGGGTGGCAGTGACTAGTTAATTATCCTCTCTAAAGTACCTAGCTGTCTAGGTACTCATATAATGTGATTTTGGCATCAGCACCAGTTGATGTGACTTGTGATAGGGAAGACTGGCATAACGTTGACAGTGGCTGATGTGGGGAAAACTAAAATTTGCACCATCCCTACTTGACGTGACTGGTGATAGGCTAGTGACGTTACATGGGTGTCAACTCCACTGGTCATGGCTCGTGCAGGGGGTAGATGTGACTTGTGTGAGGGTTTTATAGTGACATTTGTGGCTAGTTGGCATCGGGGAGGTTCATGTGGCTAGTGCAAAGGGCTTGATATAATTTGTGCACTGGAAGGCGTTGCCAAAGCTTCTGCAAGGGCCTTGACATGTTATATATTAGAAAGGTTGGTGTGAATATGCAGGGGGAGGGGTTAGCATGTGACATGTAGGGAAGGTTGGCATGACATACATGGGGGAGGCACGTGGTGTGACACGTGCCAGGGGGTTCGCATGTTACATGTAGGCAAGGTTGGTAAGATGCATGCTGGGGGGCGCTTGGCGTGACTTGTAACTGAGGTTTACAGTGTTACATGTAGGCAAGGTTGGCATGATGCGTTCCAGGGCTTTGGCGTGTTACACGTAGGCATGGTTTGGTGTGACGCACGTGGGGGGGGGGCACTTGGCGTGACTTTGTGCCAGAGATTTTATGTTACACATAGGCAAGATTGGCACGACCCATGCCAAGGGTTTAGCCTGACTCGAGGGACGTCTTAACGTAACTCATGCAAGGGGCATAAAATGCAGTAGGGTCTGTGGTTAAAGGAAGGCTCCCCATTGCCAGCCCTGTGACTGGGGGGAGGCAGGGGCAGCCTGGGTGGTGCTCACAAGATGGCGCCCACACAGCCAGGTTCACCTCAGCTGACCTCCCCTCCCCTCCCCTCTGCCCCATTGCATGATGGTTAAATAGCCCAGCCGGGGAACCCGCCATTTTCTGCTGGGGCTGGCGGGAAAGGCGGGAAGGGAGCGAGAGCAGCGCGAGCGCCGGCCGGGACTCCCAACGGCTCCAACGGTCGCTGCAGTGAGGGGCGCGAGCCACACACACAGGTAACAAGGAGGCGCGAGACACCCCCGTACCCGGGCTTCCCCCTCCCCCCTTGTTCGAAAAAAAGGGGGGGTGAGTAGAAACCGAGATCGTCTGAGGAGCCCCTTCCACCAAGTAAGTCCCGCCTTCCGTCTGTATCCTGCAGCTCATTGGTCGGGCGATGCGAGAGCACGGTGGCCGCGCTGATTGGCTGGAAGCCCCTGAGGCAGCCCCGAGGTCGATTGGTCATGAGCCGCGTCAATCACCGAGGAGGCTTCGCGGCTCTACCCCCTCTCTTGTCAGGTTACATACCGGTTGGCTGGCGACGCTGGCCAATCGGGAAAAGGCCTCGGTTAGCCTGGGGAAGGTCACCTGACTATTGTTAGCCAATCAAACCCAGACTTGGCGCAAAGGCTTCTGGAAGATGTAGTCTTTCTTTAAAAAAAACCACTTTATGTGGATAAAGGGGGCAAACTGGGGCGAGGACTGGGAGCTAGGACTCCTGGGTTCTCTTTAAAGCAGACTCTGGTGGCTCTACAGGGGCTGCCGTATTGGCCATGGAGGTGGGACGCCATGGTGCAATTTGGTGTAGGGTTGCTATTGTCCTTGGCTCCATCGCCATGGCACCTGGTTGCCGCCATGGCAGTGGCTTTGGCCTGGTGCCCATCGTGATGGCGCTGGTGTGGAACTGGCACCTCGGCGGGGTCTCACGTGGCACCGAGCCGGCTCTGAGGCCAGATCTCTCCTTTGCAGGGATATCGCTCGTTTCGGTCCCAGAGCAGCCTCCGCTCCATGAACAGTTGATGGCTCCTTGCTTTTTGTAACCTTTCCCCCCCACTGCATGTTCGCTCCCAGCCGGGATGACCCTCCACACTCTCCTCCCCACAACGATCCCTTTTCCAGACTCTCACTCAGGCCATTCCCAGCTGGCTCCCTCCGCTGCGTTCACTTCCCCAGCCCAACGTGTCTCCCTGCCCTGTTTCTGAGCGATCGGGGCAGCAGGTTCCTTCGTCCCCGCAACTGGCGCCACTGATCGGCAGGGAACCTCAGGGGGGAAATCGGTGACTTTTTCTTACTGTTGGGAACTGTCACCTGTGGGTCTGTGCAAAAACTGGCAACTGCAGAGGGAGGAGAGGAAAAGAACCCAGGAATCCTGACCGTAAATCCCTCCCGCCTCAATCCACTAGACCCTAGTCCTTTGCCAGACCTGGGACTAGAACCCAGAAGGAGTCCTGGCTCCGAGACCCACTTCCCACGCTGGGAATAGAACCCAGGAGTCCTGGCTCCTAGTTCTAACCACTAGACCCCATCCTCCTCCAGAGCTGGGAAAACAACACTTCTCCTCCTCTTCCATGCTGGGCAAATCAGGTCACTGACGGAAATGATCATTTTATATTACAGCAGAAACAAAACACAGGTTCATCTGTGACACTCTAGTTATAAACGAAGTAATTCGGAGTGAGCAGCTGTGGAATTAACAAAAGCTTTTCAGGGATTTTCTGTTACTATTCTTCCCCCCCCCAATATAGTGCCGGAAATGTTCCTAAACATTTATATGACAACCTCTAGGGTTACCATAGCATCTGAGCATCTCAGTCATCAATATATTCCTCCTCCCAACACCCTGGGAAGACAGGGCCATGTGACTAGCTCCATTTTACCAGTAGGGAACCATATTGCCTTAGTGACTTGTAGGTTACACAGGGAGTGATGGGACGCGACCCCAGGTCAAGCTGTTCTTGAAAAGGTTAAACTGATTTCTTCCCCTTCCCCTCTTTTTTTTTTTAAGCAGATTTCTTCCACACTAAAGACCATCCAGAATGGCCCGTACCAAGCAGACCGCTCGTAAATCCACTGGTGGGAAAGCCCCCCGGAAGCAACTGGCCACCAAAGCAGCCAGGAAAAGTGCGCCCTCCACTGGGGGAGTGAAGAAACCTCATCGTTACAGGTACTTGGAGTCAAGCTTTCTCTTCTGGTGTGCGTGGGAGACGTAAAGGGGAGTTTTGCCATCGTAAGAAAAAAATAACGTGATATATATCATAGCCTTAATTTTTATGTACTATGTGTGAGGGAGCATGGGCTAGTAGTTAGGGATTCAGACTCCTGAGTTGGAGTTCTTTTGCCAGTTATGCCACTGACCTGCTGATGTGACCTTAGGGAAGTCACTTCCCTTCTCTGTGCCTCAGTTTTCCCTCATCCTTTGCCAGGCTCATCTGCTTAGCATGTAAGCTCTTCAGAGCAGGGATAGTCTCTCCCGATGGGTACATATGGGGCTGAGCCCAAAGAGGCCTCGACTGAGATCAGGGTTACGAGTGGCTACTGTAATTACAAATAATAAATAATGATTTGTAGTGAATAGTTTTATAAAATATTATCCTTTCGGCTGGCTTATTAAAACAGAAGGGACAAACACATGCATACAAAGGCACTTGTAGCCGGCTCAGCAACGCATGTTTGATAGGGCACCTGCACAAAGGTTGAGATTTCATCATTGTTCCAGTCCTTGTTTGGAAGGAGCTGCTAAAGTTCTTAAAAAGCCACTTAAAAGAAAAAAAGCTTAGACGTACCCGCGGTCTAATATTAGGGGCTGTCAACGTTGTTGGTCCCCTTTAAATACTGCGTTTTGTTTTTTAACAAGAAAGTTGGTGAAATTAACAGCAGTGCAATAGGCCAGCTTAACAACCATGGAGTCCTCTTTGTCCCCAGAGACTGTGGCAGGGCAAGCTTCTTCTATGGGGGTGGGGGGGTGTACGTGTACACGAAACCCCTTCTGGGTACACCTGAGACGCTTACAGAGGAGAAGGGAGTTCTGTCTGCAGTCCTTGGCGCACTGATGTCTGAGCGTGGTTGGGGGCATGGGGGTTAAATTCTGAGCCCTTGTCTTTGAAATCTCTTCCAGGCCTGGCACCGTGGCCCTTCGAGAGATCCGGCGGTACCAGAAATCCACTGAGCTGCTGATTCGCAAACTCCCGTTCCAGCGTCTGGTCCGTGAAATCGCTCAGGACTTCAAGACGGATCTGCGGTTCCAGAGTGCTGCCATCGGAGCCCTGCAGGTAGGCGACTTTGTCTCTCTTCCCTGCTGGGCAGACAGAATGAAACCTGTCTAACTTGCCCCCAGACAGTTGGGAAGTACCTTCCAAAGAGTGAGCCCGACCTGCTTTGCACTCATCAAATCTGTAGAAACTAAAGCTCGAGGCACGGGCTCATCTCGAGAGTGACCTGCAGAGCATACCTCTGCTGCTCAGAGCCTCTGGCTTCAGAACGTAGAATCTAAATTCCCCGTTGATGTCCACGGATTACTGCTTTCGCCCCGAGAGGCGACTGCATCCCAGTGATGTGTGTGTACAAGCAGAGGGAAGACACTGACATCACTAGCTGCTGCAGTGCTCAGCTTCTCTGTCAATAAGTGCTCCCTAAAGTGCTTAGAGTTCCATGGGGACAAAACATGCTCTTAATCCACTCACTCGTGGCAGGAGAAAGCATCCACGTCTCAAAGCCGCTGGCGTGGGGGTGTTGAGCACGTAGCGTTAGAAAGAGCTGCCACGTTTGAGACTGTGCGGCTCGCTAGTGTAAATGGGTGGGGTGTGAATTTGGGGGCTCTGAATTGGTTTCCTCACCTGCCAAGTGGGGTTCAACTGACACTTGAGAAGCCCTTGAGGCACACGCAGCTGGGTAGGTGCTAAGCATGCAGGGCCAGTTTTTCGAGAGCACTCAGCCCCCCCCTTAGACATCAGAATAAACGGCACAGAGCAGTAGGAAAAATCTGGCCCTGGGTACAATGGGAGCATTTTGATGCCTCCTAAAGAGACTGTTGCGAAACAAATCGAGCTGTTACTTCTGTTGTGGTTTTTCCTTGGTAGGAAGCCAGTGAGGCTTATCTGGTGGGTCTCTTTGAAGACACCAACTTGTGTGCAATCCACGCCAAAAGAGTCACCATCATGCCAAAAGACATCCAGCTGGCACGTCGTATCCGCGGCGAGCGGGCTTAACTCGTTGGCGGCTGATATCCGCTCACACGGTGTATTAGAGTAGACTCTAGGTTTGTTTTTTTTTCCTACTCCTGTTTGTAGTGGCTAGGACACGGGGAGATGTTATAAACCTATCTTAGTAAGATGTAAGCGATCAAGAGAGTTGAATCCGTTTGTTCATAATGTACAAGCAAAAAAAAAATTTAGAAATTTACAAGACTTGGATTTTTTTGTTTTGTTTTTGTAAACTTTTTTTCAGAATTGCAAAAAAAAATATATAAAACAAGGGGGAAACATTTTTGAAATATCTGGTTTTATACACAAAACTTAAGTAGATGTAGGCATAACATAAGGAGCTTTTGGTCTTCAGTTTGTAAAAATATATCTGCAAAAGATCACGCTACACTATATTTTTCATTATTTGATTTCTTTTTTTCCTTTGTATTTAGAATGGGCATGATATTTAAACTTGTTTTCTTATTTCCATCTGTCTCGTGAAATGTGACTTGGACCTTTGTAACTTTCAGGTTTCTTCACCCTGTGGTGGGAACAAAAAAAAAGAAATAAATGTTGAACAATAACCTTTTTGCTTCCTTAATCTTGTATTTGCTGTTGCACTAGGATAGATGTGTATGTCGTGCTCTTCAGTAAATCAAAGCAACTTGCCTTGTGCTGACGCGATAGCCAAAGTTCCGTAGATCCTTTAAGGATCTCCAAGCCCTTCTGGGAGCATTATTTAAGCCTTTCAAACCCCTGTGGGGAAAGGAGTGTTAGATCCATTTTGACGATGTGGGAAACCGAAACTTAAAACTGTTGTAAGTGACTGGCCCAAAATCACAGCAAGGCTAGTGGCAGAACCAAAAATAAAACCCAGGAGTCTGGAATCCCGGGTCCCTGCTCCAGCTAAGAGACCGCATATCCAGTTGATGTGACACTATATCCTGCAATTTGGCTTCAGGATACAGAGGAAAGACCCCTCCACCCCCCCTCCCTTTTCCTGTTGTAGTGTTTACTTCATGCAGTGGGCTACAGAAGGCGGGGACCCAGGACTCCTGCATTCTTGGGCTGACTTGTCATGACCTTTGGCACAGCGAAGCTATCTGTTTATCTCCTCACTGGTCACTCTGAGAGTTGCATATTTGTGCCGCTTAGCTACGATTTCTGAAATGCTTTGGGCTCCTCAGTTTGAAGGGTGCTGTCTAACCGGTCAGTGCAGGGGTTATTGAACTCTGATAGATAAGCCCTCATTTTAACAGCCCTTTGAGAAGAGGGTGATTTAGAATTGCAGTGTACGTTTAAACACCTCTACTATTTCAGCGGTCATGTTCCATGCAGGCCCGGCTGTCTTTTGCTCTGGGGTCGGCTAGGGGGGTGGATTATCTATGCTGATAGGAGACCCCCCCTCCTGTCAGCACAGGTAGTGTCTACACGGAAGTGCCTCAGCTGTTCTGCTGTTGCATTTCAAGTCCTGACAAGCTCTTAATTTCACTGCATGCTGTTCCTGCCCTGGAGAACTCTGATGGCACGCAACAGGGCCCTACTTAAACTCACCGAGTCAAATTCTGCTCTCCGTTGTACATGACAGTGACTTCAGTGGAGTTACTGCCGTTCGACATTGGTATAGCCAAGATCAGAATCGGGGCCACTGCATGTTTCCAGCTCATCTCTGCTGGTGAAGGGTCTGGAATTTCCCATCTGTCCTTTCTTGAAATGCCCTCAGCCACCCAACTGGATATTTTGTACTTGTTTTCCAAGAGGATTTGTTCTGATTGGAGCAGTGTCTCTCTTTGCCTTTAACACATACTGCCCTTTAGAAAAGAGCAGCGTGTCTCTTGCGATAAGCACGGAGGGAAATGCTTTTTGTGGGTTGGGTTGGTGGGGGTTTTTTTGCACTGACCTACTTTTTGCGTAGGCGTTCTGTCCTCTGTAGGATTCGCTTTGGAGTCTTAGCATCTGACTCCATAAGGCACCATTAAAAAAGCACTTTACTCCCACACGCAGTTTTGGATTGCTGCTGCCATTCAGTGCCCACTTGCTTAATGTCTCGGAAAACTCCACCGCAAAATTACCGTGGTGGGTGGGTCTGTATCTGAAAGCATCATAAGCTGAATAGAAAACCTATCAAGGGTAAAACACTGTGCCAGTAAAAAGTTGGAACATCCATAGCTTTATTTATCTATTTCAAGCATCTCTTCTCTTACAAATGCTAATGAGTTTACGCCTGGCAGTGTGCCTGGGAGGTAGATCTGTATTACAGTCCCTGTTTTTAAAGAGGGGTACAGAGAGCTGAGCGTGAGTGGCAGAGCGAGAGAAAGAACCCAGGAGTCCAGACCTGCTGTCCACTGCCTGGAAGTGACAAGCCAAGCGCAATCCAGGCCTGGATTCTGTTCCTTGGCAAAGTAGATGTAAAATGCTCGCATTCTGCTGTAAGTGCTTTTCGTTCACTTTGCAGTAGGGTAAATAACTGCAAGGTAGCATCTATTTAGGCCCAAGATTTCTGCTGCAGGCTCTGACCTGCGTCTTGTACATTTCCAGCCTCTCTGCTCCCACTTGCTCCCTTTCAGCTGGGGCGTGGAGGACCTTGGTACATCTGTTCTGTCAAATCACGACGGTGCAGGTGCTAAGGGGACTGAGCGCAGATTACCCCGCAGCGCTGACTTGATTGCACTTGACAAGTTTGCATTAAATTTAGAGACTGTGTGGCAGAGCGAAAGCCCTGTTTTAGCCACCTTAAGTGGGATTACAGTGGTGGTGTGTCAGGACTGCTTTATTTTCTCTGGGGTAGCAGAGGCAGATGGGCCTTTGAGGACATGCAGTCCCCTCTGCTTAAAAAGGACAAGTGTGTGGAGTTTGCTGGTGGTGGTTTGTTCTTTTTATTGTTTGCAAAGCTTTTAATATCTCTGTATCTTACAGGGAGGCAGTGCAGGCTAGTGGTTAGAGCAGGGGAGGCCCGGGACTCAGGATGCTAGCGGTTCTATTACCTGCTCTGCGGATATTGACTACTGATTAGAGCAGGAGATGGGGAGGCAGGTCTCCTGGGTCCCGGTCCCTGCTCTGGGAGGGGTGTGGGGGGTACAGGTTAAGCAGGGAACCCCAGAGTGGGTTTTCTGCTTTCTAGTCCTGAGCTGGCCCCTGACTCATGCTGTGTCCTTCATCAATTTGCCCTCCCTCCCTAGGGCCCTTTGTAAGAGGAGGATAACAGTGCCTACCCTCCAGAGGGGGTTGGCCCGGCTTTGTTGTTCGAGCACTTTGTGAGCCCGGGTGACAATGCAACTCAACAGCCAGGTATTTATTATTAATAAACAGCCTTGTCAAAAGGAAATGCACAGCACCGTTAGGAAGTCAGCACTTATCTCTCTGCATCCCAACAGACCAGCTAACCCGTTCCTTTCCACTCTGCCTTAGGAGCTGTGTTGAGCGGGAGGCCCCCAACAAAGAACATGCTGTTTAGGGGGAGCCGGCGCCAGGTGGTGGGTCAGGACTCTGAGATCAGAGCACAAAAGCTGATGAACCTAGAACCCCTCCTCCAAAAGCCTAGGCCTGGATCTAAAGGAAATTCGGAAATTCCCATTCGCGGTTAGCCATGTAGGACCCACAGCTGGGAAGTTCTGAAGATGGCAGTAGTACACACACACCCCAGCAGGGGGCAGTGAATGTCAGGTGATATTTCCCTTCTAAAATACCCAGGCACGTTCAAGGCCCTGGGTCTGCTTCCTGTGAGCTGCTAAAACACTTGGCAGGATAGTTGACATGTCCCACTGATTAGCTTTGTATAATCAGTATCCGTCTTCCCAGCCCAGTGAGGACCTAGGGCTTTGTGTGTGCAGTGAGCTCCCTTGTCAAATTCCGCCAGGCCACTGAGCAGAGTAATGTGTTAAGGCCCAAACAACCCTCCTGGATAAATATTGTTAAAGGAACTAATTATATCCTCCCCTTAAAAGGGGGGAAGGTGGCGCACCAGCCCCCCATTCCAAACGTCTCCCCCTGTTGTATGGGATGGGAGAGCACCAGCTGGTCTGATGTGCTTAGGACAGATGGGGGTGAGTTAAGGAGGCTGCTGGAGGCCAGTCTAGGCCGACAGCAGACTCTTGGGAGCTACCGGGAGAACAGACCAGGAGACTGGGAACTGAGGGACTCGAGTTCTAATCCCGAGCCCTGCCCCGGCCTGCTGGAGCAACCCTGGGATTAGAATTCCAGTCTGAATTGGTTTAGCTTCGGTTTCCAGTCACTGGATCTTGTTAGACCTTTGTCTGCTAGATTGCAGACCCTCTGGTATCAAAATGTTGTTCCCTCTTTAGGTCCTTATACCCTGGGATCAAGTTACCCCTTCACCTCCTCTTTGATAGGTTAGACTCCGGGAGCTCAACCTGTTTATCACTATAAGGCCTGCGTTCCACTCCTTTAACAACGCTCGTGGCTCTTCTATGAACCCTCCAATTTATTAACCTCTTTCCTGAATTGTGCGCACCAGAATTGGACACAGGATTCCCGCAGCGGTCACACCAGGGCCAAATAGAGAGGTAAATTAACCTCTCTGCTCCTATTCGAGATTCCCTTGTTCTGTGAGGGGATCCCAACCCTTACCATGCTGCTACATGCAATGGGGGAGGGATCCCTGTATGCAGGTCATGGCCTGGAAAAAGTTGAGAGGCACCGATTCAGATTGCAAGCTCTTTGGGGGCAGAGACTGTCTCTCACTCTGTCTATGCCACACCTGGAGCAATGGGGCCTTGATCTGATGTTTTTAAGTGCTACCATAATTCAGATGCTATTAATTTCTGCATAAGAATTGCAAACTTATGGACATCGCTTGTGTCCGTTGGGAACGGATTTGGGGTTTTTCCCCCCACCCGAAGGAGTTTCAGATTCAGAAATGTAAAGAACAAATCGTGTGTGTTTGCACTAAGAGAGGATCGTTTCAAAGAAGGAGAGTTAAAAACACACTTGGTTCTGGAGACCCTTGGTAGAAATTTCACAGCTGGCAAATAAAACCAATGTCTTGAATCTCTGGAACGTAATCTGACAGGCGTAATTTCTAGTCCCCTTGTAAAGAGGCTTAGTGACCATAGGAGGGCAGTGGTGCGTTAGCTAAGAAGTGTATCCTTGATCCTCCACTCTAAACAGGCTGTTGACTATCAACTATTCGCTGTCGGAACCAGGTTTAAATATCTCCGGTGGGAAAGGAACTTTGGAAGATCTAACGTCCCTGGGTTGGAAATACTTCAAGCGACCAGCCCTAAAGTGGATCCTTTGCCTTCCCTTTCCAGGTGGTGTCTTGAGAATTCACAGGATCTTTGGACTGAATGACTGTAATGGGAGCTGCTCTGTGTCCTGTTCTATCCAAATGTCTTTTTTAAAAAGAAGGCAGAAGTTGCTCAACACCAGTCTGTAGGAGGAAGGGTGATCTAGTGGTTAGAGCCAGGCCTGGGGAAGCCAGCCTCTATTCCCAGCTCTGGGGGGGAGTGGGGTCTAGTGGCTAGCAAGAGAGAGGGCTCCTGGACTCGATTCTGGGGAAGGAGTGTTATCTAGTGGTTAGAGCAGCACTATTCCTGGCTCCCCGTGTGACCTTCATCTCTGTGGG